TAAAAATAAAAAACCATTGTTAATGGACTTAGCAGAAGAGCCCAGTTATGTGGAGCTAGCCTACATTTTATTGCTTCATCTCCTCCCCTTCTCCCTGTAGCCATTGGGCGCTTAAGGGTTAAAGGAATGCTTCTCTGATTTTCTTTAAGTCACTGACACCTATTTTGTAAGTTCTGATGCTGACATTTGTAAGATGCATCCCAGTACCAGAGTTGTTACAATTGTGTCTTAGAGTCAAAGAAATATATTATCAAATTTAACACACCATTTTGGTACCCATTCAGGGTGCCTTTCCTGGTTGACACTGGAATTTGAAGCTGGCTGGAATTGACACTCATTAGGGAAGATTGTAATTGACTGTGGCAATAGTCCAGAGCCACTGCTAGAAAGCCAGCTTTTCCCTCAGACCTGGGTTTTGGCTTCCAGAGTGAAGTGTCATAGCTGATAGTGAGATGGCTGATACTGTTCTTGTCTTCATTCTGTTGTGACTTCTAAACTTGTGCTTTATTTTTCCCTCCAGCTATCTCTGGATGCCATACTGATAGTAATAATTCATGTATTCAGCATATGTGCCAGGCACTGTTCTAACTCGGAGCCAAGTATATTGTAGTGAATTATATAATCAGGAAACCTGTAGGGATAAAGCTTATATGCTAGTGGGAAGAGGCAGACCCCAAATGAATAAACAGGATAATTTTATAGTGGATGAGTACTTCAGAGATAATAAACAGGGTAATGGGAAGAATACTAATTTAAGTAGGGTGTCAGAGGAGGCTGTGACAATTGAACTAGCCTGTAAAACTTTCCGGGAAGAACATTTCAAGCAAAAAGACTAATAACATGAATATTTATTAAGCATCTGTTATGTGCACTTTTCTAGGTGCCCTTGATAAATCAGTGCATAAAACAGAAATCAACACCCTCAATCTAGTGGAAAGAGATAGTAAATAAAAGGAATAGGGAAATAATGTTAATAACAGGAATAGAGAAATAATGTTAATAACAGTAACTACAACAAGAGTTACCACTGTCGCCAAGCATTGTGTTAAAAGCTTTATTTATATTTCATTGAATCCTCACAGTATCACAGTGGCATAGATACTGTCATTACTTACCCCTTTTCTTTGTTTTTATAGGAGAAAAAGCATATAATTTATTAGCATGTGAGGTTGGGGAAAATCACAGAGTGATGACTCCGACCTTCCAATGGGATACCAGATTTTATATACCCTTTTTCCACAGGGGAGGGAGGAGACAGGGTATGTAGACAATTCTTTTGAAGGGCAGTAAATGTTTATTAGGGGGAATGACTAGTCCAGGGAGACAAAAATTAACTTGTAAATGATTTTTGAGGCAGAGAGTCAGGCATTTTCTTGTGGAAAAGCCCATCTAGGTTTGGTTACATTCTTCAGACTTCTTTTTTCTACTTACCCCTTTTCTATAGATGGGGAAACTAAGACACACAGAGATGAGCTGTGTGCTCAAGGAAGGTGTTCATACTGACTGGTGAATAATGGAGCCAGGTTTCTAACTTAGGCCCCCATCTCCAAACTATTATACATAATTACTCTGTTACGTTGTTGCCTCTTGAGTTGAAATCCATGAAGGTTCTCCAGTCCACCTATGAAATACAAGGGGGGGCCCTCCCTCCGAAAAACAGAATTTGTTTGTTTAAAAAAATGTGTATTTTTACATGTTTAAACTTCAGTCACCTTCATAGTACTCTCGGTTTGTTGTAATACGCATATCAAGATTTTTTTTCACTGCTAGAAACAGTTTTTAAGCTCGCCAGTTTTGATGCCTTTTAGTGCTTTTGCCACTTTTTGTCCCACCTCTTCCACATCAGCAAAACATTTCCCTATGAGGACCTTTTTCATCTGAGGAAACAAAAAAAAAAGCCGCTGCCTCAAGATAGGGTGAATAGGGAGGGTGGGGCACTGGGGTCATGATGGTTTGGGGCCAAAACTCCTGAATATGCAATGTGGTTTGGGCAGGTAGGCTCGTAAATCACCCGTCATGAAGTGTGCAAACCAAATGCATTGAAAGAATCTCCAAAAACAGAAATTCACTGAAACCAGAGGGTAGCCTCTCACAACAATGCTACGTGGCACACTGATGCCAATAGGAGAAGCTACCTGGTACACTTACCTAGTGAGAAGTCTGTACTACAAGGAGCCCGCCCTCCAAAATGTAATTCTGCTTTGTTTTATTTGGTTTTTTTTTCGTTCTCCCTCATAGATAGGAACGTGGGGACAATTTACATCAAGTTCTTCCCATTTCCTTAGATGGGTTGATGTTGTGGGAAGAATACAGGGATAGATCTTCCTGGCGTCTTATTTGATGTCTAGTTCTTAATGTTTATCCTCCCCTTCAGATCCATTCTCCACTTGTTTTTCTGCTTAAAAACTTTCCATGGCTTTTATTTGCATTCTCTGCTGCTTTCCTTTTCCCCAGCCACATTGTGGCTCCTTTTCTCTCTTTTTTGTCTTTTTTTTTGAGACAGAGTGTTGCTCTGTTGCCCAGGCTAGAATGCAGTGGCACTATCATAGTTCACTGTAACCTCAAAGCCCTGGGCTCAAGTGATTCTTCCACCTCAGCCTCCTAAGTAGTTAGGACTACAGCCTCATGCCACCACGGCCAGTTATTTTTATTTTTTTGATAGAGACAAGGTCTCTCTATGTTGCCCAGGCTGGTCTTAACTCTTGGCTTCAAGCGATCCTCTCCCCTTGGCTTGTCAAAGTGCTGGCTTTACAGGTGTGAGCCACCATGCCCAGCAGCATTGTATTTTATTCTCTTTCCACTCTGCTGTACCCTAATTATCCATTCCTTTTTCCTTTTCCGTATCTTTACATACATGACTCCTTCTTCCTAAATGTCTTCTTACCCTTTTGCTACCTGGTAAATGCTTCAGAACACAGCTTAGCTGTCACCTGAAGGTTTCCTGACACTCTCATAAATGTTCATTCCCATGCTCCACCAACCTAGTAGTATATGCGTTCTTTAAATTACAGTTATCACCTTGTATTAAGAGTGGTAATATGTCTCCTTTACTCGAGTAGTCTCCTAATGGCTGCACCAAATTTATTCATCTTTTTATATGCCTATTGCTCTGAGCATTTTTAAAAAGGCATTTGTTAAATTAATGAGTTCTATAGACATCAGTGGTACCTCAAATTGGGCAAATTATTTAACTTCCCTGAAATAGGGTTTCCATATCTGAAAAATCAGGGTAATAATTCTCCTTCTGCCAGTAACTCAGTGCTGTTGTGAAGACCTGAAAAGATAATACATATAAAAGTGCTTTGAAAATGTCTAAACTGTTAAACAATGCAGAGTATTATTACAGTAACTTAAAGTAGCTGATGCTTAGTCTAGATATTGTAATGGAATCTGAAGACTCTTAGGTGGTTCTGTTTTGTATCCAGTAGTTTATTGGATTTTGTATTATTGCTTCCTCTTATTTTAATCACATGCATTTTCACAAAGAATATATATTTACTTAAAAATAGCAACTTATCTGCTGTCAAGGATAGAGGATACTATTGGGACTAATTTTTAAAGTATTCCTTAACATGCCCGAGAGCTTTAGTAGGCCTTCTCTCTGAGAGTATACCGTGAATATTCAATACATAAAGCTTTTCCAGTTTGTAAGATTTTGTATTGGCCAGGCTTGGTGACTCAGCCTGTAATCCTAGCACTTTGGGAGGTTGAGGTAGGTGGATTGCCTGAGCCCTCAGGTTCGAGAACAGCCCGTACAACTCGTCTCTACAATAAAAAATAAATAAATAAATTAGCTGGGCATGTTAGCGTGCACCTGCAGTTCCAGCTACTTGGAAGGCTGAGGTGGAAGGATCGCAGGAGCCCAGGAGGTCGATGCTGGAGTGGCCACGAGTGTGCTACACTTGAGCCTGGGCGATGGAGTAAGACTCCAACTCAAAAAAAAAAAAAAATTTTTTTTTATATCTTTGTGGGAAGGAAATAGTTTTCAAGAACTTTGCATTTTGTCCTTGTCAAGCCTACTAGTGATGACAACACAAATTTTGAGTTATTTTTAAAACGTCATTGTGCTATAGTTTACACAGTAGTGATATATCTATTAGTATGCAGTTTCAGTGTAGTAGAAATTTGGTGTGTGTAATTCTGGGACTTTCATTTTTGTCTGTTCAAGAGATAGGTGTGAGTTATAGCAACTTGATGGGGCTCTGATTATTCTTTTTTTTTTTTTGAGTTGGAGTCTCACTCTGTCGCCCAGACTGGAGTGCAATGGCCGCTCCCGGCCACTGCTGCCTCAACCTGCTGGGCTCCAGCGATCCTTCCGCCTCGGCCTTCCAAGTAGCTGGAACTACAGGTGCGCGCTACCACGCCCGGCTGATTTTTTGATTTATTGTAGAGATGAGGTCTCGCTGCCCAGGCAGGTCTCGAACCCGTGGGCTCAGGCAATCCACTCACCTCAGCCTCCCAAAGGCGCGGGATTACAGGCTGAGCCACCGAGCCCAGCTTGATTATTCTTAACATTTTTTTGTTTGTTTGTTTGTTTTGAGTCAGAGTCTCACTCTGTTGCCCAGGCTGGAGTGCAGTAACATGCTCACTGCCACTCCAGCATCGACGTGCTGGGCTCAGGTGATCCTTCCACCTCAGCCTTTCAAGTAGCTGGAATTACAGGCATGCACTACCATGCCCAGCTAATTTTTTGATATATTGTAGAGACGCGGTCTCACCAAGTTGCCCAGGCTGTTCTCAAACCTGTGGGCTCAGGCAGTCCTCTCCTCGACCTCCCAAAGTGCTGGAATTACAGGCTTGAGCCACTGTGCCCGGCCTCTTACCATAATTTTAAGGTTTATTAAAACTTTTATTTTAATTAATTACTCATGTTTTAGAATTTATTTACTTGAGTTTTTTAATTTAAGAAACTGCTGTATACCATTAAGAATAACTCAAAAAAAAGAAATGATAAAATATACTCTCTTGATTGTAACTATAAATTTTTATTTCCTTGATAGGTGTTAAAAAAGACATTGAGAAGCTTTATGAAGCTGTACCACAGCTTAGTAATGTGTTTAAGATTAAGGACAAAATTGGAGAAGGTAATTTGGGGATATGCTTTATTATTCTTACACTTTTTTTTTTTATTTTCCTTGGTTTTCATTACCATTCCTTATTGAAAAATATATCACTTATAAAAATATTAAGACCGTGGTTATATTACTAATTATGGTAACAGCTTTTCTTTTTTCCCCTGGAAAGAAAGAATAAACATTACAGTAAAATAAAATCTTGTTTTAATCTGTTACGCCATTAACATTGTTTTTGTAGTCTCTTTTGGTATTGTTTCACGTTTTTAAAACCCAAATACTGAAAAATCTATTAAATCGTTTTACAGGCACTTTCAGCTCTGTTTATTTGGCCACAGCACAGTTACAAGTAGGACCTGAAGAGAAAATTGCTCTAAAACACTTAATTCCAACCAGTCATCCTATAAGAATTGCAGCTGAACTTCAGTGCCTAACAGTGGCTGGGTAGGCAATTTAAAGATATTTTAATTGAACTGGTTATATAAAATTTATAAGATTTTAAAGTAGATGCTTAACAGAGACGAGGAGATTGTACATTTTTCAGTCAAGTGTTTGCAATTTGCTAACGCTTTTCTTACCTTGCAATAGTTAGTTAAATTTATAGTAATTCTTTTAGAGTAGATTTCCCTTGAGACTCAGCTTGATTTCCTGTTCTTTTACCACTTCTTTTTGTAACCTTTCTGCTAAATCATAAACCTTGGCTTTCATGGTTTAGATTTTTTTTTTTTTTTGAGTTGGAGTTTCACTCTGTCGCCCAGACTGGAGTGCAGTGGCCGCTCCCAGCCACCGCAGCCTCGACCTGCTGGGCTCCGGCGATCCTTCTGCCTCAGCCTTCCAAGTAGCTGGAATTACAGGCGCGCGCTACCACACTCGGCTAATTTTTTTGATTTATTATAGAGATGAGGTCTTGCCAATTTGCCCAGGCGGGTCTTGAACCCTAGATCTTTTTTAATGTGGGGAACTCACATTTCATGCCTCCCCACCTATTGACAACTTCATCTCATGTTTGATTTAGAACAACAGAATCATATAATGTGTCTTTCTCCTTGGTTCCTCTCTGCTAGGTCTTTGCTGTCAACATACCCACGTGATATACTATCCCTCCTGAACTGCCCCCCTCTTCCAGCTGCTCTATCACTTCTTTGCTCCCCTTCACTACCAGACTTCTCAAAAATTACCTGCACACTCTGTTTATTGTCTGCATACTTCTGCACATCCCTTTCGCTACATAGTCATTGTGACTGCTCTCCTCTATGCTAAATTGAAACTACTTGAGTTAGAGTGAGGCATGACTGTGGATTTCAGTTAACATTACTGATTTGAACGATTGTCTTTTGATTTCTATATTGCCACACCCTTCTTGTTTTCTTCCTGCTTCATTTGGCCTTTATTTTTAGTTTCTTTGGCAGCTCACTGTCTCCTTCCTGACTCCTAAATGTTGGAGTTCCTCAGTGCTGATTCTTTTTTTTTTTTTTGAGTTGGAGTCTCACTCTGTCACCCAGACTGGAGTTAAGTGGCCGCTCCTGGCCACTGCAGCCTCGACCTGCTGGGCTCCGGCGATCCTTCCGCCTCAGCCTTCCAAGCTGAAACTACAGGCGCACACTACCATGCCTGGCTCATTTTGATTTATTGTAGAGATGAGGTCCCGCCAGGTAGCCCAGGCGGGTCTTGGTCTTGAGCTCTCTTTCTCTGTATTCTTTCTTAGTGTACTGCATTTTCACATGGCTTATAGTAATGATTCTCAACAGTATGTATCTCACCTCAAACCTTTTATCTTACCTGCAGGCTTGTGTATATTCACCTGCTTATTTGACATCCCACTTGAGTGCCTGATTAATATCTGCAACCTAAATTTGTCAAAAACTAAATGTTTTTATTTTGTTTATTTATTTTTTTGAGTCGGAGTTTTACTCTGTCACTCAGGCTGGAGGGCAGTGGCATACTCACGGCCACTGCAACCTTGACCTGCTGGGCCAAGGCTTGCTAACACGTGCCTGTAGTTCCAGTTCCCTGGAAGACTGAGGCCAAAGGATCGCCTGAGCCCAGCAGGCTATTGTAGTATAGCAAAATGTTGGTGTGGCTATGAGTGTGCCACAGCGCTCCAGCCTGGGCGACGGAGTGAGACTCCCACTCAAAAACAAATAAACTCATCCTTGTCTTTCCTGCCACTACCTCAGTCCTAGCCTAGACTACGATTATAGCCTGCTGATTCTCTTCCCTGCTTAATTCTATCTTCACATAGTAACCAGAGTAATTTTTAAAATATATTTGTACGTAACATAAATTGACTAACATTCCGCCACTTAAAATCTTTCGATAATTTTTCTGCGTCCTTTGAAAAAAAAATCAACCTTATCTCATGCCCGTCTTCCTACCTCCCTTACTGGGCTCCAGTTCCTCAAATACGTCTGGAGAGCCTTTTTCACTCCCAGTCACTGCCCCAATTGTTTCAGCATTCAGAAAGACCTCTCCCAGTCTTTGTGTGCTGACTCGTCGTCTTTCTGATCTGAGCAAGAGTGGCACCAATTAAAAGAGGTCTTCTCTGAATTAAATTCTAGATTCTCCCACTTCTTCATTGTCATAGCACCTTTTGATTTCTTTCAAAACCCTTATCATAATTTGTGATTATTTTTTGCCTTGTCATCTATATTGTCCACTAGATGGTAAATTCCATGAGGATCGAACCTGTATTCATTTTAGTCACTGTTGTATCCCTAATGTCTATAATCCCTAAGGCAAATAACAGTGCTCTCTAAATATTTACTGAATGAACAAATGATCCTATTTCTTTGTTTTACTCTTTTTTGTGTATTATAGAAGACAAGAAAATAAGATGGCCTCTCTAAGGAATGATTGCATGCATTCTGGTCTCCTCAATGTGATCATTTCTTTTTCTGTTCTTTAAATATCTCCCTCTACCATGTTTTCTTTCTCTGTGCTTCAAAAAAGTGCGATCTGGCCAGACCCAGTGGCTCATGCCTGTAATCCCAGCACTTTGGGAGACTGAGGTGGGAGGATTTCTTAGGCCCAGGACTTCAAGAACAGCCTGGGCAACATAGTGAGACACCACTTGTAAAAAATAAAAAATAAAGTGTAGGCCCGGCACAGTGGCTCAAGCCTGTATTCCCAGCACTTTGGTAAGTTGAGCTGAGAGGATTACCTGAGCCCACAGGTTCAAGACCAGCCTGGGCAATGGCAGGATTGCATCTCTACAATAAAATTTAAAAATTAGCCAGGTGTGGTAGCATGCGCCTGTAGTTCCAGCTATTTGGAAGACTGAGGCAGAAGGATTGTCTGAGCCCAGCAGGTCGACATTGGGGTGGCCATGTGCGTGCCACTCTCTCCAGCCTCAGCAAAGGAGTGAGACTCCAACTCAAAAAAAAAAAAAAAAAGTACAGTCTAAAAATGTTTCCATCAGATTTTGTGATGCAGTCAGGCAAACTTTCTTTATGCTTTGCTTCCATTGTATCATATTTTCCTTCCTGCTGTTTGTCTCTTCTTTTTCATTTAAATTGCTCTCTGAAAAATTACCAGTTAATTCCTTCTTGTCAAACTAAAAGCCTTCCCTCAGTCCTTATTCTCTTTGAATTCCATGCTACCCCTTCCTTCAAAACTCCTCACTTTGGTGCCCCTTCTCTTGTTCTTCTTTTCTTTTCTTTTTTTTTTTGAGTAGGAGTCTCACTCTTGTCCAGGCTGGAGTGCAGTAGCACACTCATGGACCCCGCAGCCTCGACCTGCTGGGCTCAGGCAATCCTTCCACCTCAGACTTCCAAGTAGCTGGGACTACAGGTGTGTGCCAACACACCTGACTAATTTTTTGGTTTATTGTAGAGATCAGATCTCACCAAGTTGCCCAGGCTGGTCTTGAACTCAGGCAGTCCTCTCACTTCGGCCTCCCAAAGTGCTGGGATTATAGGCTTGAGCCACCGCGCCCAGCCCCTTTCTTGCTTTTCTCTCCAACTTGAGACTTTTTCCAAGGCTCAGCTTTCTCTTCTTGCTATTAATTTTCATAATTTTAGGTATCACTTCCCTGAAAGTACTGCCACTGACCTTCCACTTAAGGTTTAGTCCCTTATCCTAGTTATCTATATCAAGTTGAAGAGGTCTAGTTTTAGATCCTTCTCTTTTCCTGATTTCTCTATTATTTTGTTGGTATCTCCATTGTTTTACCTACTCAGGTTCAAAGCCATGGAAATCACCTTGCTCTGTTTTCCTCATCTTTTACAAAGCAGTGTAACATGGTAATTGAGCTGGAACACATGGCCTACTAGTTGAATAGCCTTGGGGAAGTTCTTCAAATTTCCTAATGCCTTACTTTTTTTCATCTATTAAAAGAGGGAAAGAAATAATAGCTTTTTAAAGAGTTTTGTGAAGATTAAGTGAATTTGTTAATTAATAGGTGTGAAGTGCTTGGATCAGAGCTTAGCATATAGGAAATGTTCAGGAAATGTTAACTATCATTTTATTTTTGTTACCATCTTTTCTGCTACTGAGTCTTGTTAATTAATTCTTGTTCATTTCTCATTCTGCTACTTCCCCAGTTAACACTATAATTATCTCATGTTTGAATTATAGTAACCTTATAACTGGTGCTATTTTTGCTTTAAAAGAAAACTTAATCTTTAGTGAAAGTCACTTAAATGTCTGTACTATTTTTTTGTGTGTGGGTGTGTGTCCGGAGTCTTACTCTGTCACCCAGGCTGACAGTGCGGTGGAGTGCAGTGGCATGCTCACAGCCATCCTAGCGTCAACACGCTGGGCTCAGGCGATCCTTCTGCCTCAGCCTTCCAAGTAGCTGAAACTATAGGCGCGTACTACCACGCCCAGCTAATTTTTTGATTTATTGTAGAGATGAGGTCTCACCAAGTTGCCCAGGCTGTTCTCAAATCCATGGGCTCAGGCAATCCCCTCACCTTGGCCTCCCAGAGTGCTGGGATTACAGGCTTGAATCACTGTGCCCGGCCCTAAATGTTTATACTATTTTATCAGATGATGACTTTAAGTCAGTCTTCTAGTGATAGGAATGTGTTGCTAAAATTACATTTTAGCAGATTAAGCATAAAGTTTCAGTTTATTTGACTTTTCCTCTAAAGTTTATTGTGCATTTTTCCACTAGGGGGCAAGACAATGTCATGGGTGTTAAATACTGCTTCAGGAAAAATGACCATGTGGTTATTGCTATGCCATATCTGGAGCATGAGTCCTTTTTGGTAGGTTTTAATATTTCTTGAGTTTTTATTTACTTAGATACTTAATTGAAAATGATTTTCACTCATAACTCCTTTCATTCATAACTTTATTTTAGGACATTTTGAATTCTCTTTCCTTTCAAGAAGTACGGGAATATATGTTTAATTTGTTCAAAGCTTTGAAACGCATTCATCAGTTTGGTATTGTTCACCGTGACGTTAAACCCAGCAATTTTTTATATAATAGGCGCCTGAAAAAGTAAGTATGAAGCGTTACTAGAAATATTTACACTTGAAAGGATTTGTGCTATGGAGTCTGTCTTTATTTTTTAAAAATTGTCTACATTTAAGGTATTCGACATGATGTTATGGGATACACAGATACTAAAAAGGTTACTATAGTGAAGCAAATTAACATATTCATCATCTCAGTTACCATTTATTTTGTAAGATTAGCTAAAATTCACTCATTTATCATGAAAGCATAATTTTTTTAAGGAAATCCTCTGTTTTGAATTTTTATTTTATTTATTATTATTATTTTTTTTTTTAGAGAGAGATGGAATCTCACTGTTGACCAGGCTGATCTCAAACTCCTGGCCTCAAGCAGTCCTTGTACTTAGATTACAGGTGTGAGCACCGTGCCTGGCCTATTTTACAATTTTATTGCCTGTAGTCTTCATAGTGTACCTTACATCTGTAGATTCTAGATTTTTTTTATCCTATGTATCTGCTACTTTGTACCTTCTGGCCTACATCTCTTTTGTTTTTTGTTTTTTGGGGGTTTTTTTGAGTTGGAATCTCACTCTGTCGCCCAGGCTGGAGTGCAGTGACATGCTCACGGCCATCGCAGCCTTGATCTGCTGGACTCAGGTGATCCTTCCGCCTCAGCCTTCCAAGTAGCTGAAACTGTAGGCATGTGCCAACACACTCGGCTAATTTTTTGATTTATTGTAGAGATGAGGTCTCACCAAGTTACCCAAACTGGTCTTGAACTTGTGGGCTCAGGCAGTCCTCTCACCTCGGCCTCCCAAAGTGCTGGGATTGTAGGCATGAGCCACCGCGCCTGGCCTACATCTCTTAAACAGTACTAGTGTACTGTAACAGCCATACACAGATTATTTGTTTCAAATTTTCATTGTGATTGGGAAGGGAATTCAGTGAAGGAGAAGATAAAATTGTATAATACATCATTAGATATACCAAGGTTCCATGGAAATAGCACTTTAGCTAAAGACATAGAAAGTCTTAGTCCTTTTTGACCTTAGACATGTCTCTTATCTCTGGGCTTCAGTTTTCTTTTCTAGTAAATGAGGGTATTGAATCACGTGATAACCAGTTTCCTCTTTTAGCACTGAGTTCTGTCTTTTTGTGTATCTATTTTTAATTATGATTATAATTATAGAGATATTATAAGCTAAAAAGAACTTAAATACTGCTGTTTATATAGTGGATCATATTGAAAATGGTAAGAAGATTAAAACTGTTACTTCTTCCAGAGACTTTTATACCCCAGACTTTTCTCTTTGACATTCTTTAATTCAGATTTCAAAATCATGATTTTTAATTTTTTTTTAGCTTGCTTAATTAAAATTATCTGTTGTAATGCCATCTCTGTTGCCATCGGGTAATGAAAGATTGTGTTTATATTGTGGATTCTTCTGTCTTATCAGCATAGGCCACTGGGAAAGTGAGAGAAAAGATTGATTGATTTTAGAGTACATTTTAACTTTCAATCCTAGTTAGCTATTAAATTTTTACTTTGCCTGGAATACTTATTTTTCTTTTCTTTATTCCAGACTGTTATAAATTCTTAATTGAGCTCTAAAATAATTATTGTTTATGAAGATGGTTTGAGAATATTATGCTGTTACTAAGCCTTAATTTTTACAGAGAAGTGAAAATGCTTAATTTTGTTTCTTAGGTACGCCTTGGTAGACTTTGGTTTGGCCCAAGGAACTCATGATACCAAAATAGAGCTTCTCAAATTTGTCCAGTCTGAAGCTCAGCAGGAAAGTTGTTCACAAAACAAACCCCACATAATCACGGGAAGCAAGATTCTATTGAGTGGCCCAGCACCCAAGGAACTAGATCAGCAGTCCACCACAAAAACGTCTGTTAAAAGACCCTACACAAATGCACAAATTCAAATTAAACAAGGAAAAGATGGAAAGGTTCTACTTCTTTTATTTCTTACTCACTGACACTGTTTTAGAAATGTACTCCTTCAGCCAACAGAGGGCGATATAATACTAGAATAGTACTTATAATTTTTTCACATCTGTTATATGTATTCAGTTGATTAGATTTTCAGTAAGATTTGTACTGAATCATTTTGCTTACTATTTCAGAACTAAAGTTAACATTTCAATTTATAATGTCTTTGTCATTATGTGTTACAAAATTATGACAAAAATGGAAAATAATAAAATTTCCCTGCATGTTTAGAAGCTAGGATTTATTATCCTTTTTAAAAGAAAGCATTAGTTATAGGGGAAAGATTCTGAAGTGTCTATCTCCATTTTAGCTGCACAGCAAAATGTAAAATCCATGCAGGTGGCTTTTGAATTTTTTCAGTTATATATATTTGTGGATTCTGATAACATTGTATGGGTATTGAGTTTTGTCTAGACTATTTTCTCCTTTCACAGAAATGTTTTGGTGCCTAAGAATGACTTGGATGCAGCTGTTTTTGTTTTATGTCACTTAACTCTTTCAAAACTATGGCAGAGTACAGCTGGCAGAAAGTGTTACAGATATAATCCTTGTTTTCCTTGTTTTTGTTGGTATTGTAGGAAGGATCTGTAGGCCTTTCTGTCCAGCGCTCTGTTTTTGGAGAAAGAAATTTCAATATACACAGCTCCATTTCACATGAGAGCCCTGCAGTGAAAGTAAGTAATGTAGCTTAATAGTGCACTGGTCAGTCGGTCATACACTGAAGAGAATTTAGGTAATGAGTAGAAAAGTGTTGATTAACGACAAGTTTTTAAAAGCAGAATTTGCCTTTGGCAGAAGGTATTACTTCTCTGAGCATTTAGTTAAAACTTTTGTTTTCTCCAGTTTTTTCCTGAACTTTTCTGGTGAAATTTTTTAAATCATTTTTGGTTAGCTGACTATTGTTGCTCTTTCTCTAAAGTGACGTTTAGAACATTAAAACCTTTTCTGTCATTGTTAGAATGTGAGCTTCCAACACCTAATGTCATAGTAGCACATAGTTGTTAATGTAAAGATGTTTGTAAATTTAACAAAATTGTCCTCCATGTTAGATGATTTTAATTGAACTTATATCATGTGACAGCTAGATAGCATGAGCAGCAAATTAAAACTCTGATTTTAGCCAATGTAATTGTGCAGTTTACAGTTCTGAAATGGAGTTAGACACTAGAACGTAACTGTTTTTTACTTTCATAATATATTAGGAAGAGTCCTGATAAAGTATTAGTCAAATATTTGCCAAACTAGGACTCATTATACATTTTAATATAAGGTATTATACAAAAGACTTTAACCATTTTAATAGACAGTTGTTTATTTACAATCCATCAGCACATTCAGGAGTTTTTAAAGTTACGCTTCTGCTCTTGCTTTTTGCCATGCCAGCATTTGAGAACATCATATTAAATGTTATTAAAATAGAAAATGTGACTTTTCTTTTACAGCTCATGAAGCAGTCAAAGACTGTGGATGTACTGTCTAGAAAGTTAGCAACAAAAAAGAAGACTATTTCTACAAAAGTTATAAATAGTGGTGTGATGAGGAAAACTACCAGTCCTTGCCCAGCTAGCCTGACATGTGACTGCTATGCAACAGATAAAGTGTGTAGTATTTGCCTTTCCAGGTAATGTGTTTTGATGGTATTATGAAGTCACCAGCATGCTGCCAGACTAGAGTAGAAATTGCACTGGTTTTGGTGGGCAAGTGATTTAGCGAATGCAAGGGAACAACACAGGTCGCAGACATTGAAACCGAGCAGTACCTTCGAAGAGCAAATGATAACAGTTGTCATGGTGTTGATTTAACATGAATATGCTCTTTGGAAAACACATTTGCTTTTACAGGCAAATAATTGGGGTGGTGAGAGGGGCAGATAGCATTTCCAGAAACTTAAAGACCCACATTTTGCTTGCTGTTGTATCTTTCCTGTTTTCTCTCTTTGCCCCTGCCTTTGTGAAGTAACGAGAATCATAATCTGTTTCTAGCCTTCAACTCTGGCTCATAAACCCCTCCCTTTCCTTTAAGACTTGGCTTTGGTAAAGCCTGTCCTGATGAATTCAAACATATAAGTAACATATCAGTGGCCATCCTGAAGAATTCCTGTTCTGTTTTTCTATTATGGCTTTTATTACCTACTACCTCTTTTTATGCTTGGACGTTACCTCAAAACCTTCTGGAGTAACTCCAGGGAACTAGTAGAGAGGGAAAAAAAACATTAGAAGCAAATCTAGCTTGTTCATCTATGAGATCATTTACTTTATGATAACTTTTATTTAGATAGATATCAAGGCAAAATTTACTGTGAACTAAATTGATCAGATTTTATTTTTTGAACTTAAATATTTCAACTTTAGCATAACTAGAGAAATTTTATTTTATCATAAGGCGTCAACAAGTTGCCCCTAGGGCAGGTACACCGGGATTCAGAGCACCAGAGGTCTTAACAAAGTGCCCCAATCAAACTACAGGTATGTTACATTGGAAATAGAGAACCCAATTCAATGAATTGTCCCAGATACACTTTTTATCTTATGGTCTTTGTCTGTTTATAACATTTGATTGCTCTGCTTTTAATTATATTATATAAGCAATTCTAGCAGTGTGGCATTCCTGTTTTTGAGATAATGCTATTCTTTATGAAAGTTTTTAATACTAGTGTTGCCTTTCTTTTAAGTTTTTTTCCCCATAGATTACATTTTGCTTATTCATTTACAAGATAATTTTACCAAGAATTTTTTAAATTGGGGTTTGGGCTCCTTTCCTTTGCCCAGACCCTTTCTTTCCCTCCCTCCCTCCCTTTTCTGAGTTGGTGTCTTGCTCTGTTGCCCAGACTGGAGTGCAGTGGCACAATCACAGCTCACTGCAGCCTCAGCCTCCTGGGCTTAGGCAGCCCTTCTGCCTCAGCCACCCGAATAGCTGGGACTACAGATGCATGCCATCGTACCCGACTAATGCTTTGATTTTTTTGTAGAGATTCAGTCTTGCTATGTTGCCTATGCTGGTCTTGGAACTCTTGAGCTCAAGCAGTCCTCCCTCCTCGGCTTCCCAAAGTGCTAGAATTACAGGCATGAGACACCGTGCCCTGACCGATTTTGTTAAGAATTTTGTTGGAATCACTTTTGTAGGGGACAAAAAATATGTTTAATAGTTTCTGTCAGCTGAAGACTTGGAGCGTTTTATGTGTTTACCTAATGATACCTCAAAAATTTTCTGTGATACAGATGTAATTATGTTCGATTAAAATTATCTTCTGTTATTGTATAAATAATATAATAGTAGTTAAAAGATTTTGAAGAAGAACCAGGTACAGTGGCTCATGCCTATAATCCCAGCACTTTGGGAGGCCAAGGCGGATGGATTGCTTGAGCCCTGGAGTTCAAGACCAGCCTGGGCAACATAGTGAAACCTATCTCTAAAAAAATCCAAAAGTTAGCTGGGCATGGTGGCTCATTCCTATAGTCCTAGCTACTCAGGATGCTAAGGTGGAAGGATCACCTTAGCCAGGGAGGTAGAGGTTGCTGTGAGCCATGATCATCGTGATCATGCCACTGTACTACAGCCTGGGCAACAGAGTGAGATCCCTGACCAAGAAAAAAAAAGATTTTGAAAAGGGAAAATATCTTCTATAATCTAAAAGGGTGTCATGGAGCAGAAACCCAAGAAACATCTTGTTGAATAAATAGATGAATCCTGCTATTCACTTGGATTATGGGCTTTTGAAAAAAAATGTATTTATTCATTGTGTTTTGTGCTTACTAATGATAAAAATAAAATGGACCATCTGTTCACATTCTAGTCAGGACACACTGCCAATAATTATAAAATGACCTGTTGAGAATAGTGGATAAAACTTAGATAAGGCTTGTAAGGAGTATCTTCACTGTCTTAACCTAAAAGGGATATGGAAGGAAATTAATGGAAAAGATGACCTTGGAGATGAGAGTGTAAGTTGGGGTGGGAGGTTAGCGTTGAGGCATTAACCAAGAAACTCAAGAAACAGCATAATGTTGTTATACAAAAAACTGAAAAAGTGGATGTTGCTAGAATATTAAGATGCAAGCTGAAGAATGGTGAGAAGTAAACCTGGAAAGAGATTGACATGGTCTGAAGGCTTTTAATAAACAGCTTGGACTATATGCTGTAGATGTTGGAAAGTTATTCAAGGGAAAGAGGTGGTTATGTTGTATTCTAGATGGATCATTCTGTCAAGTGGACAGAGGATAGATTTTGGAGCGTGGTGGTCTGAAGTGGTCCAGGTGAGAAGACGAAAGTATGAATGAGGTCACTGGTAGTAAGAATGAAAAAAAAGGCAGAGCTTGGTGGGTGATTGTGGAATTTGGGTGTGGTGTAGACGAAGGTATCCAGGCTGTTTGTCAGGTTCCTAGCTTGGGGACTTGAATGTGTACCAGTAACCAAGGTGGAGAATAAAGGAGAAGACTCTGGTCTATAGGGAAATGTAAGGTTGGTTTGGGACATATAATTGGTTTGAGATATTTGTGGGACATCCAGATAGAGACATCCAACAGGATATGAAAGTTAAGTCTGAAACTCGGAAGGACCTGGGCTGGAAATACAGTTGCGGGTCACCGTTATATAAGTGGTAGTTGAAGCCATGTGGATGGACCAATCAGGGAGAGTATACAGGGGGAGGAACCTCAGGCCTCAAGGCTTGGAGAAAACATTGAAGGAGCAGGTATGGGGCAAAGGACATCAAGGGAAGCTGATAGCGAGGCCGGGGAAATAATAATAATAACTTGGTGATACTAGGTCAACAATAAGAGAGATGTCCATAAAAGGGGAAAAATTAACTTCTTGGCCGGGCATGGTGGCTCAAGCCTATAATCCCAGCACTTTGGGAGGACGAAGCAAGAGGATTGTCTGAGCCCATGGGTTCAAGGCCACCCTGGGCTACATGGTGAGACCTAATCTCTACAATAAATCCAATAAAATTAGCTGGTCGTGGTAGTTCTGGCTACTTGGAAGGCTGAGGTGGAAAGATTGCCAGAGCCCAGCAGGTTGAGGCTGTGGTGGCCGGGAGCATGTGACTGTACTCCAGCCTAGGTGCAGACAGAGGGAGACTCCAACTCAAAAAAAACAAAAACAGAAAACGAGGTTCTTAACATGAAGTGGAACTGGTCTTAGTCTTAACTGCCAGGATTAAAGATTCAACAGCGGTAGCTGCTTGTTAGCATCTGGCTGAAGAAGATCTAATGTCCATTACTTTTCAGTAAAATAAAACCACTTTCCACGACCATGGCTTGTAATTCTTGAGGAGCATCCAGATTTTTTCCCATGTAGCTATTTTTGGAAATCTTTTGTTCTTATAAAGTGTGCATTTATCATGTTTTCTAATGATGAAATATCCTTTTAAACTTACCAACGTGTTACTCAAAAAAATGTATTTTGTAGCCAGGCTCCGTGGCTCAGCCTGTAATCCCAGCACTTTGGGAGGCTGAGGTGAGTGGATTGCTTGAGCCCATGGGTTCGAGACCTGCCTGGGCAACTTGGCGAGACCTCATCTCTACAATAAATCAAAAATTAGCCGGGTGTGGTAGCGCACGCCAGTAGTTCCAGCTACTTGGAAGGCTGAGGCGGAAGGATCACCGGAGCCCAGCAGGTCAAGGCTGCAGTGGCCAGGAGTGGCCACTGCACTCCAGTCTGGAGGATAGGGTGAGACTCCAACTCAAAAAAAAAAAATGTATTTTGTATTGAGCATGTTGAATCAAGGATTCTCAATCCTGGTTGTATATTAAAATCAGCTGGGGAACTTTTGTTTATTTTATTTTGCTTTTTTAATTTTTTTTACTTTTTTGAGTAGGAATCTCATTCCTTCACTGATGACCTCCCTAGCGTCAACCTTCTGGACTCCAGCAATCCTTCTGAGCAGCTGGAACTGTAGATGCATGCTACCACACCGGGCTATTTTTATTTTATTTTAGAGGTGAGGTCTCGCCAAGCTGCCCGTGCTGGTCTCAAACCCACGGGCTCAGGCAATCCATTCACCTCAGCCTCCCAAGGTGCTGGGACTACAGGCTGAGCCACCAAGCCTAGCCAGCTGGGGAACTTTTTAAAAAACACTGATGCCTGAGCTCTACTTCAGTACTATTCATTCAAAATCTCTGTGAGATTGGATATAGGCATCTGAATTTTTTTAAGGCTCCCAAAGTGATTCTAGTGCACAGTAAATGCTATGAACTATTGATTTAGATGATAAAATTATAGATTTTAAATTTACTTTTAAAATTTGTCTTCTGTTGCAGCAATTGACATGTGGTCTGCAGGCGTCATATTTCTTTCTTTGCTTAGTGGACGATATCCATTTTATAAAGCAAGTGATGATTTAACTGCTTTGGCTCAAATTATGACAATTCGGGGATCCAGGGAAACTATCCAAGCTGCTAAAACTTTTGGTAAGCAGTTTTATATTATAGAATAAAACAAATGTCTTTGATTATTTCTTACAAATAATTAATCCATTACTAAGAAATGTGCTTACAAATTAACATATTCACTGTTTATAAAGTTCTCTAATCCTAGGTAAAAAATGTCTCAATTGCTTGAAATTAAGTTGTATTTGTGTATGAAAATAATTTATTATCACTTTTCTGTACATTTAATCATATTAAGCACAAAGTACTATGCTGCTCTAGTACTTAAAGTTCAACTTTATAATCTTCATAAAATAAGGAGTAAAATCTTAACTCCCTTTAGTTGTGGTTTGACTTTTTTTTTTTTTTTTGAGTTGGAGTCTCACTCTATCACCCAGACTGGAGTGCAGTGGCTGCTCCCGGCCACCGCAGCCTCAACCTGCTGGGCTCCGGCGATCCTTCCGCCTCAGCCTTCCGAGTAGCTGTAACTACAGGCATGCACTACCACGCCCGGCTAATTTTTGATTTATTGTAGAGATGAGGTCTCACCAAGTTGCCCAGGTGGGTCTCAAATCTGCGGGCTCAGGCAGTCTACTCACCTCGGCCTCCCAAAGTGCGGGATTACAGGCTGAGCCACCGAGCCCGACTTGGTTTGACTTTTATTACATAAATATTTTTATTGTATATTAAGCATCAGGTAAACTACTTGGTACTAAGAATGAACGATCTTAATCTATTCTAACAAGTAAACAGTTAATCATTAATACAGCCTAATATGGACTACAGTAGGGAAGCAAATAGAAATGTGTGTTACTTGGCAGATGACTTAGGATTAAGGTAGTAAAGAAGCAAAATGAATAGAGTACTTTAACTGGTGGAGTATTATTGTAAGCATATATCAGACACGGACGTCATCTCCTCAGGCATGCAAGTTCTTCTTCAAGACTGGAATATGCAGTGTACTTCATAGGACACCCAAGAATTATCTCAGGTTTGCCGTGGCCAACAGCCTGAACTCGAATACCCACCTTGTGTTTGTTTTCCAAGTATAGTTACAGTTAATACTGTCCAAGGGGTGAGTGTGATGAAGTCGGCTTGCTGCCACACAGGGATTCACCCTAAAGGACAAAGTTTCAGTCAGCCTGCCTTAAGAGCGGCCGGGTGGCCTTGTGCTCAGACCTAGGAGCAGTGGGTCTTACAAATCAGTGGGTCTTAACCAGAGGTGCATATTGGAATTATCAGAGAACCTTTAAGAAATACATATGAGCCAGGCTCGGTGGCTCAGCCTGTAATCCCGCGCCTTTGGGAGGCTGAGGTGAGTGGATGGCCTGAGCCCGTGGGTTCGAGACCTGCCTGGGCAACTTGGCGAGACCTCATCCTCTACAATAAATCAAAAAAAAAAATTAGCTGGGCGTGGCAGCGCACACCTGTAGTTCCAGCTACTTGGAAGGCTGAGGTGGAAGGATCGCCGGAGCCCAGCAGGTCAAGGCTGTGGTGGCCGGGAGTGGCCACTGCACTCCAGTCTGGGCGATGGAGTGAGACTCCAACTCAAAAAAAAAAGAAAAAAAAAAAAGAAATACATGTGCTTGCCCGCCCCATCCATTCCTGGAAAATATGATTCAGGAAAATATGATACTTAGGAAGGTTCCAGGCTCGTTAGCTTGAAAAACAAGTGATTTTGATCGAGAACTACTGGTTTTGAAGAACCACTGCAAAAATGACTGTCTTTGCTTAGGCACCAGTGCTGTGGTCTCATCCATAAGAAAAACTTGGTTGTGAAGAAAGTCTCTGCTTAATAGAAACTTGCCAAAGTGTTTCTACAGCAATGCCAGTCCACAATTTGTGCCCATCTTGTACCTATTATAAGACATTTTTATTCAAGGATAATAGGGTGAAATGATACATATGTACAAGGGAAAAGTGACGATGAATAGAAAGCAAGATCGATACCTTAGACATGATATTCTTACATGATCATAAACAGCATGTGCATGTTTATTTTCAACTAACTGAGAAAACTTTTGTCTACTATTAAATAACTTTATAAGAAGTATATGAACTTGAAGTTTATCAGCCAACACCAAAATGCTTTGTTGAAGGCTAGAGTCGCCCCAGTTGGTCATCAGAAGCAGGACTAAGCACAATGGAAGTACAGCATCTGACATAAAATCCTCCAGTGCAGGTGCCATGAGAGCAGGCAGCAGCTTTTAGGGATTTGTAATTATAATCTCTTTTCTCATATTTTTTAAAAAATGCTGCATAGCATTTGTGTCAGTTTTATTAGTGACTTCTGTAGTTAGTTCAGTCAGATCTTACTCTAACTTTGGACTGAGGATGGGACACTCAACATTTCAACAAACGCAACTGCATTCTCCTTTAAACCCAAAGAAATGATTTGGCTGAGATTCACAGTGAGAACACCTTTACTTCTCTTGTCTGTAACCTGCCCTGCTGTCCTCAGCCCTTAGACCTGGCCCTGTTGTGGGTTGTCAATAAGTACTTGTTGAATTGTATTGAATGAATTACAAGTAAAAACCTTGAGCTAAAACAAATTCCTGACACTTAGTAGTCTGAAAGAAAATACATTTGACTGTGAGAGTTTATTTAATTTTTTTTTGAGTTTGAGGATTCAACACGCCAATCCTCTTTTATTTTATTTTATTTTTTTGAGTCAGAGTCTCACTCTTGTTGCCCAGGCTAGAGGAGTACAATGACACACTCATCATGGCCAGGCACCGCAACCTGAAACGGCTGGGCTTAGCTATCCTTCTGCCTCAGCCTTCCAAGTAGCTGGAACTACAGGCGCATACTACCTTGCCCAGCTAATTTTTGATTTATTGTAGAGACGAGGTCTCACTAAATTGTCTGGGTGAGTCTCGAACCCGTGGACTCAAGCAGTCCTCTCACCTCGGCCTCCCAAAGTGCTGGGATTACAGGCTGAGCCTCCGAGCCCGGCCCCAAGAGTTTATTTTAAATGAGCAGTCTCTTTGGTCATGTGAAAATAAGTAATTAGGCATATTTTATACTTTGGGGTCACATACTATTATTTCATGACTTCAAAGTGACCTAATAAGGAATAAAACTATATGACTATTTTCTTCTGGTTATAATCTTCTAGAGAGAACAGGAATGATATAATTTAAGAGTAAAAAAGGGCTGGGTATGCTGGCTCATGCCTATAATCTCAGTACCTTGGGAGATTGAGATGGGAGGATCCCTTGAGTCCTGAAGTTCTAGACCAGCCTGGGCAAAATAGCAAAACTTTGTCTCTACAAAAAAAAAAAAAAAATAGCTGGGCGTGGTGGCGTGTGCCTGTAGTCCCAGCTACTTGGGAGACCGAGGCAAAAGGATTGCCTGAGCCCAGATGGTCGAGGCTGCAGTGAGTAATGATCATGCCACTGCACTCCAGGCTGGGCAACAGAGTGAGACTCTGACTCAAAAAAATAAAATAAAATAAAAGAGGATTGGCGTGTTGAATCCTCAATGAACTTAGGTTTTGGTAATTTGTTTCCTTATTTCCTCCATGCCTGTTCCCCACCCCCTTCTTTTTCCTGCCTTAGTACACTGGTTGGTTGTTAGATCAGAATATGCAGAGGTAACTTTTTAGCATCCAGAGGCAGATTAATTATTTTGTTGACAACCTATATACCCCAGAAAGGAATCTAAATGTTGTGGAACTCATTGTTTAGAGCCACATTCCTGTTTAATAAGGAAAAGTGGGACAAAAATAATGCACAATTGCCATTTGTGTGGTTAACTGTTTTTGCCCATGTCTGATAATAAACCTGTCAGGAGATTATTTCAAAGACATTTATATTTTTAAAAACTGAGATCTGGTTTGTTTATTCAAAAACAGTTATTGGGGATTTGTGGGTGCAAGGTAGTATTGTGAGTCTTTCTCTCATAGAGCTTAAATTCTGGTGAAAGAGAGAAAATAAGTTTATACTGTCAGAGGTGAGGAGTATTGAGAACAAGAAAAGGAAGAAGATAGTGAAGAGGGCTCAGTTATTTAGGATAGTTTGGTCAAGAACAGCATTTCTAAGGATGTGTCTATTTGAACAGAGTTGTTGAGATGAATGTCTTTTTGTCCAGTCCAACGGACATTAACTGAGCACCTAAAATGTACTGGGAATGGCCTAGGTTTTGGGGATTCAGAGATGAGTAAGACAGTCCCTGCCTTCAAAGAGCTCACAGTCTAGTAGGCAGGACAGACAGATGTTTTATCTGTTTCTATATAGGATAACAAAAGTAATAGTAGAGCTCAGGATACAAGAAGCTTAAAATGATCAATTCTCTCTGAGGGTGTTGGGCCTCAGAGGTGATTCTTCAGCTGAGTTGTGATGTAAGTGGGAGTGCCCTGGGCACACAAGGGGTGCAGGGCATCCTAGGCAAAGAGGGGAGCCATGAGTCAAAGGCATAGAGGCATGGTAAGGGGCCGGGGAGGACAGGAGCTGCAGCTAGTTAGAGGTTACAAAAGAATGAGAGGAAGCTGGAAAAGTTGGCAGAGTCAAGCGAGTGTCTGGCATAGCTTAGCAAGTCACTGCTTTCTACTTACTGTCTCCCACTTTATGGTTTGGCTTTCAACTGCGTAGTTCAAACACAACTTAAATATAGCATGTGATATATATGTGTGTGTGTGTGTGTGTGTGTGTATGTATATGTATCCATAAAGCATATCATTAGACTTACATGTTTCCATGAGAGAGGCTTTTGCTATATTCAGATAAATAATAAAGTGTGTGTGTGTGTGTGTGTGTTTTTTCTTTTAGGCAAATCAGTATTATGTAGCAAAGAAGTTCCAGCACAAGACTTGAGAAGACTCTGTGAGAGACTCCGGAGCATAGATTCTAACATGCCCAAATTAGCCAGTGATACACAAGGACCTGCTTCTCATCACCCAGCCTTCTCAGAGAAAACTGACTGTAAAGCGTCTCACCTCACACAAACACCTCAAGCTCCACACTCAGGGAGTTCATTTAAAAAGGAGGATGGTCATGGCTGTGGGAGTCGTTTTGATGAGTATACTACTAACTTAGAAGGCTGGAATGAGGTACCTGATGAAGCTTACGACCTGCTTGATAAACTTCTGGATCTAAATCCAGCTTCACGAATAACAGCAGAAGCAGCTTTGTTGCATCCATTTTTCAAAGATATGAGCTTGTGATGATGATTCATCATTTAATATTTACTGTTGTATATTGTGAGATGGGGTAAATAAAGAATTCTTTATATATAGCCGTAAGTTCTTGCTTAGAGACTGAGGCAGGACACATAATTTATTGAAAAATTGTAATATTTGCTCTGGTGGAAGATTTTAAAGTATAGATTAACCTTACTTAAAATACCTGAGATAGTTTTTTGGATTAACAACATGATTTTCTTCGAGTTAAACCTACTCAGGTAGCCTCAGATCTTTAATTTCCTTAATTACTTTTCACTGCCATAGCAGAAAAAGGAGCAGTTTTAGTCTTAACTAATTAGTTTTAATGAATTATTGGATGTAATCGGGATTAAATGAGTCAAAAGACGTGGTATACTCATTTTTTTAGAGCTGTGTATGCAGTTGGAAAACTCAACTTGGTGCTAGTGCTCTGACAATTTTGTAAGTGAAGAAGATAACTTTGTTTTATAGAGGTATATATTATGCCCTTTATGAACACTAAAACAATGTGGAAATGCTGGTCATGGGGCAAAATGTCACTTAGAATTGAATTTATCCATTTTTAAAAACTATTTCATGAAAGCATTTTTGTGTGAATTGCCATTATTTTGAGTAGCTTCTCATGATTATTCTTTTCTCTCTGCCCCCACCTAAAACATTCTCCTTGGAAATTATATGGTGCTGGCCACAGAGTTTTGGGTGCTTTATTAAATATTGCATGTGTTTACAGTCGAGAACTTAAAGCATACGTTGGTGGGTAAGGGGAAACTGCAGGACCAAAGTGAAGACTGAGAGTCCAAAATGCTTTCCTTTTTTTCTTCTAAGATGGTTGTTTCACACCATCTTAGGTATAATTAGGTCGCTGCTAAAAGGAAAAGTGAACACCAGAGTTGACAATATTATTCGAGAACTTTCCTCTGCCTAGAGCCATCTAGATCTCTGTATCCTGTTTTGACTAAGTTTGTCCTGCTCATATAGAACAATGATTACTGGAGCCTCAGGTGGGCTGGGGGAGAAAATGAAGTAGGCAAAGTAGACAAGGACCTGCAATAGAGGTTTATATATTATTTACGTTTCAAAGTGATATGTACCGATGACAACATATCAAACTTCCTATGGGAAATAGGTTTGGGAGAGTGGATCAACTGACAAGTTTCCCATTTAGCTGTCACAGTGTAGAAACAGCTGAGGGACATTCATTCTGTTATTTTGACCATCGATAAGTCAGTATGTCTTCTTAATCTATTTGTTAAGATGTGTATACAACCATTACCATTGATCTGCTCTGTCTTATGCTATAGTCTTTAATGTTCTTGAATTTGTATATTTAATAAAGTAATCTTTTTATATTATGTCAGACTACTCCTTTGAAAAATCATAGCTGCTTTTTTCTTTAATTGGCCACTGAAAGTTTTTTTTTTTTTTTTTAGATTGATGAATGATCTCTCTTCAGCAAATAGCGACTGGGTAGTAAATTAACAAATTTGGCCTAGCTCAAATAAAATATAGGGAAGATAGGAGTCGATTTTGCTGTTTAAAAGGGTCTCATTGACTTAGTTGTATTGACTTAGTTTATAAACCATCTTTGTAATAAAAATATAGTCTTTACTCAGCTAAAATTTTTTACTCACGGTCAAGTTAATGTGCTCAGAAAATTAAGGAGGGAAAATTTACAGAAAAGGAGGGAAGGAAGACATTCTCTCAGAAAGTTTAAAATTCAGAGCTGTTTTAATTTTCCATTAATGGTACTTTTAGCACAGAACTTGGTTGGTATTCAAGGAGGAAGGTAAAGGGAGCTATATTCTAAAAAATATCTAGTGTTACAAATTCTCAGGGAATTTTAATTCCACTGAATACTGCCACCATTTTGAACAAATATTCCCAATGTGCCAAATGAAAATTAGGGAGTTTCCATATGTATTCTTCAGAGTTTAAAGCCTTCTGAACACTAAAATAGCAGATATCTCTCTAAAAGATTTTACTCAGGAAAAATAGTCATTTATAGGGAAAGACTAAGCAAATAGTTAATGCCATTTCCTATCATTATGGAAGTTCCTGGAATATTCAGCTATTTTTCATTATCAGCTTTTTAAAATTCTTGTTGCTCAGACCCACAATAAAACTTAAGGATATTTTCATTTAATAAGCCTTAGACATTTACAACTATTAATGTAACATACTACAAGTAGTTTTTGTAACAGGCTGAGCTCTCTAGCATTTTTAATGAAACTTTTCCTTATAAGGAGATGATTACAGTTGTCATAATGACCTAAATAAGATTGTGGCTCAAGAATTATTTCAAGGAATTAAACATAGTTATTTCAAAATCTGAACAAAAATCATCAAATGATGTTGATATCTTTCTGGCATCAGCATTTTATGGACAAAGTTACAGATGTTAGAATATTGATTGCATAAAATCTTGAAACCCACAAAACTCGCAGGCTTAGGTCTTCGTAATTTCTGTTGTTTATGTAATTTCAGCCCTATGCGTCACTGAAAAGTTATTTATTTCAAGAAACTGGCCAAATTTGGTGGGTGATGCTGTCTGCCAGTGTCTGCAGATGTATTGTTTCCGCCTACATTTGTGCATGTTGTCTGGTCTTTAAAGAACACGAACACCAGATAGAAATGTTAGCTCTCTGTTAGTTTTTTCCTATGTTCTTAGAACTGATGTTGCTGTTTCCTGATTTTGTCAGATTGTATGTCTGAACTGTCTTCCTTTCTTGAAAGGTGGATATTAGCAACCATGTACCAGATAAGTAATCAGAAGTAGTTAATGCTGTGTCAAATTACAGCAAGGTTTTCAACAAAGTAACCACAAAGATGAGTGCGAAAGCAAGTATTTAGTAAGTAATGACATCTTAGCTATCTAAAGTGAAAAGGCATGATCTCAGGAAAGCAACTGCAAATGGGTGAGAAAACTAAAAGTGAGATTTAGAAAAGTAATTGTAACACTTCAAGAGCTTAATCTGACCTGCTAATTTTTTTCTCAGTAAAAGAAAATGAACTGAAAGGATAAACTTGTTCTTGACCTGTTTTGAGTGCTTTAAAAAAGGAACAATTCAAAATGGAAAAGAGTTCAAAATGGAAAAAATAAAAACTTATTTGGAGAGTATATGCATAGTTTTTATAAAAAAGATGAAAACGTAAATGGTTTGGAATTTCTATTTAAGCACTCACCATGTGCAAATTACCTTTTTGAATTTAACACACATCCTAGCTATTGGCAGATTCCATCTTAGATACTACTGAAGCAGTTCTTTAAGGAAAGTAACAAGTCTAACACTAGGAAGTTTAATCCTAACATGAAGGAAAATGAGGAATAACTTACAGATTCATCTCTAGTCCTAGATTTAGAGAACACCAGCATCACTAGCAGGTGATGGATCAAGATGCTGGGCTTCTGACATCTGAAATCAACAACAATAATGACACTGTCAGCTCTGGGGTAAGTACAGAGCAGAAAATGAAAGAACCATCAGATGATACCTTTTTAATCAGAATTATTGCATATGCTCCTTACCCACATTCTGTTGATGATGTGTTTTTATATGTGTATTTAATTATGTGTTTGCCCTTTGCGTACATTCCTTCCATAACTTCTCTGAAGACTGTAACATATGATCTAGAAATGACTCCAGCTAGGACAAGACCAAGAAAGTTAAATCAGAAACACGAATGGCTCTGTTGCCTCACCTCATTGCAGCTCTGTCCTTAAGAAAGGGGAACAGGAGCTGGGCTCGGTGGCTCAGCCTGTAATCCCGTGCCTTTGGGAGGCTGAACTGAGTGGACTGCCTGAGCCCGCGGGTTCAAAACCCGCCTGGGCAACTTGGCGAGACCTCATCTCTACAATAAATCAAAAATTAGCCGGGCGTGGTAGCGCGCGCCTGTAGTTCCAGCTACTTGGAAGGCTGAGGCGGGAGGATCACCGAAGCCCAGCAGGTTGAGGCTGCGGGGGCTGGGAGCGGCTACTGCGCTCCAGTCTGGGTGACAGACTCCAACTCAAAAAAAAAAAAAGGGGGGGGGAGCAGGGACCTAGGGCATGCAGCTGCTTCCAGATTTCTCTAGGCACTTGTAATGCTTTTATTTATTTTTTATTTTTAAATTATTTTATTTTAAAGATGTGGGGTACAATTCAAGGTTAGGTATACAAACGATTATGTAGGTACCCTTGTTGATGAGGTGTGCCCCACCAACCTCTAGCAGTTTCCCTCAGCTGCCAATCCCTTTCTCATAGTATTATAATTGTTCAAGGTCCACTTATGAGTGAGAACATACGACCCTCTGTTTCTGTGATAGATCACTGAGTATGATCAACTCCACAAACATCCAAGTTGCTGTGAAGTCCATATGTTTGTCCTCCTTTATGGCTGCATAATATTCCGTTGTGTATATGTACCACATTTTTTTTTTATCCAGTCCAGCTTCGATGGGCAGCATAGTTGGTTCCATGTTTTTGCTATTGTGAATAGAGCTGCAACAAACATGCGTGTGCAGGTATCTTTTTTGTAGAGTGATTTGAGTTCCTCCAGGTATATTCCCAATAACGGAATTGCTGGGTCATATGGAAGGTCAATTTCTAGTTCTTTCAGAAATTGCTACACTGTCTTCCAAACACTCATAATGCTTTTGTGGCCATAGAAATGTCCTTCTTTCTTCTGGCAGGTTGCTGATCACCATCTTCCTACACTCAAATACTCTGGCTAAAAAGACAGTCACATCACAACCCTGGGTCAAAAAGAGAGTAATTTGGTTTATAATGTTGTTTATAATATTTATAATGTTAAAGCAGGAAGGTGAGTAAATAAAAATTTTAGTGCCAAAAAAAAAAAAAAAAATAGTCATACTGTATATGAGCACTCCTTACACTTTCCCTAGAGTTTGGGGAATGAATGCCTGGTGTTCTGTGAATGTTCTTTCTGTGATTTTAATTTGTTAAGTTGAAACTCCGTAGATAAATGGCCATATTGAATGTGTACTCCTCTTAAAATGGAAATTTGTCATTTTTATGTTTTAAAAAAATAAACACCGGCATCTTATGCCTCTTTGTTGTGTATTTTGAGGAAGCATCTTT